ACTAAGCATAACACTCACCTTCCCGCCTCCACTCAACTAGGCCAGACTTCCCTCCCTCCATCAGAGGACAGGCGCTTGCTCAAGTCAATTCTTTCAAAAGTATAATTTTTCAAAGTACAATTTGTTTTTAAGTCCAATTAAAATCCCACTTTCTACAAGAAGCCCTTCCAGATATCCCAGTGAGAATGGACCACACATTTTCCCAGCATGTAAGTTGTACCTCTGTGATAACTCTTTTCACATTCTTCACTCGGGCAGACTCTTAACGAATGTGTCTGATTTCCCCCACAACATAGAGTAGGATCCCTTGGAAAGTAGAGGCCAAGATTCCTTATCTCTGGATTTTCCACATCTCCTTGCACTGAGTATGATCCCTAGCAGGACCCTGTGGGCTCCTGGGCACAAAGCCTGTATCGGTGTCCCCCATTTCTTGATTACAGGAAATAGGCTTCATTCAGCCTACATGACCTTCCCTGAGTTCCAATGAGCAGGTTCAAGCAGTTGCTAATTAGAGAAGGGAGGGGATGTGAGACAAGGGAGGAATAGTCAAAAGAAGCAATAGTGCAGCCTTGGGGCAGGGTCTCGGTTCCCCCTCAAGGGATACACATAACAATACCTTTGAGCTGTTTTGCAGATACTGAAACCCCCACTAGTTGGGAGAAGTTAATGGTGTGCTACCCACAAACACGCAGACCCCAGAACCAGTTGGAACCGTAAGGTTGATGATGCTGACTCCCACTTACCTCACCACCAACCAATCAGAGGAATGTCCATGAACTGATCACACCCTCCTCTTTGACCGATTACTATAAAACTCCTCACTACCCTCTCCAGGTCAGGGCCACAGTTTTGAGGGCAATCGCCTGCTCTAGCCCCCTTTGCCTGGCAAAGCAATAAAGCTATTCTTTTCTACTTCACCCAAAACTCTGTCTTGAGATTTAATTCAGTGTTAGGGTACAGAGGCCGGATTTGGCTTCAAGTATGAGCTCCCCTACTTGCTCCCCTATCCCGCAAAAAAGCAAAAGCTTAAATAAATTGCCAAAGTACTGGATCTTCTTCCTCCCTAGGCCAAACAATGTCCTGACCAGTGGCCTCTCTTCTTTTTCCCCATACCAGCACAGGAATGCCATCTCTGCACTTATGCTTGCCTGTCACCATGTTCATGTAACTGAACAAAAGTGACAGCCCTGTTCATCCCATGTCCTGTGTAATCCACCCAACTCCTTTCATCTCCATCTAAAACTATTTTTTACACTGCCTAAAATTTAACCATAGAGAAGCAGTACTTTGAATATTTACCCTTCAAAGATTTTTATTAAAATACAAGTAACCTCATGAGAAGTGGCGCCTTAACTTAAACCATCATCAGCCATTGTTTTAGCAAGGACTAGGGGAAAACAGGCTGAGAATTGGGCCATTTTTTAATGGGATTGGAAATGTAGAGACAGGAAAGAGAAGAAATGGTATCTGGTCAGGAGGTAGATGTTGGGGAGGTGGTGAAAAAGTACCAAAAATAAATATTCAACTTCCTCATAAATTTGCAACAGACGAAGTCTTCCTGAGCTGGTGCCCCTGTGTGAGGCAATGTATTAAGGACATGAGACATACAGATCCACTGCAAATTAATAATGTTAATAAACTGAGCTGAGACTCAGAGAGTTCAAATAACTAGGGTTGAGAAGAATATTCGAAGTTTATTTTTAAAGGAGCCCAGAGACTGAGGTAAAACCCACAACTGTAAAGAACACCTTTCCATCAAGGACTTAGCTTCTATGTATGAATTGTAAGCAAGGGAAGCAGCCTTAGAAAGCAGAATCGGATGATTACTGGTGCCTAGGAAAACCTCTGGCCTAAAGAAGTAATCTGAAGTTAGCCCCATCTTCCTCTAAACCCACTTGGTAGGGTTTTGAAAATCTCCTCCATGAACATAATACACTTGACATGAATTCATGGAAGTAAATGAGGTTAACAGGATCTGACCAACATCTTAGTGTATCTTCCAAAGGCTGGGCAGTGTATCCATAATGAGGAAAGGAATATGAAATGCTCACAAATCCCATGATTAAAATGCCTCTTGGTCTATAAATCGTGTTTCCCTGCTGTTCATAGCTCTGAAAAGGATTAGAGAGAAACCTACTCCTGGGTGTGACAACTGGGGTCACTGAAGATTAGATGTTGCCAGGAGCCCACAGAGTCTGCCCTGCAGAAAGCAGTGAAATGATCAAACCCCCACTCCTTCTGCTGGAATATTTACTGTTGACACAAGAGTTCAGCTGTAGACTATGAGCAAAAACCTTCTGTCAATCCCTTTCAGTCCTTAATGGGACAAAAAGAGCTAGAGATCTTTCAAAACAGTTGAAGATTGCTAACTGACAGGGAGCTGGGAGAAGTGCAACTAGCATATGGGTAATTTTTAAGGCTACTTTTAAGTGTGAAGCCCTTTGACTGGTTCTCTGTCTCGTGGGTGTCCCGAAATTTCCATCTCACTGAAATTTGGAAAAGAATTCAGGTTCTATCTTTCCCCAGAGAGGGGAGGCAGCCACAAGCTTTACAAACCTAGAGTTTGTACATACGGCAAAGTTAGATTCGCTTACTTTTGGAGCCTGACAATACTTGATACCTGATAAAAATCACTGTCAAATAACATTTATAAGAACCCAGTTGCATGAGATGGGGTACTATGTTGAGGATCACAAACAGTTACAGCAAAGGCCTCCAGGTGCCCAGAGTTTAGGGCAAGCAAATGAGCATATAGGAAAGGCAAAATTTAAAAATGGCAGAGCAAATTTGAATGGACCAAGTAACTGCTTTGCCATTGTACATTCTTCCTATCCCCTGTCACCCATCCATCTATCCATCCCCCCAAAACATACCCCAACCCTAGTGACAAAGGTGGAGGCAAAGCCTGGAAGGACAGTCCACAGGTACTGAGATGCTCAGGGTTGGGAAGGACTTTGATGCATGTGAAACCCAATCCATGGTACCTTTGAATTTCCTCTGCCATGGCTCCACCAAGTAATTACTTGGCACATGTCCTAGGACCTTCAGGGACTGGGAATCCACCGCTTTGTAAGACAAACAAAAAAAAAACCTCAACATATTTAGGCAGATAAAACATATTTAGGCAGATATAACAAAAAATTCTTCCTTGTAAGGACAAATCCACTTCCCCAGAGCCTGTTGCTTCTGGTTGCATCTTTTAGGGCCACAGAGAAAAACAAAAAATCAACATTCCTCTTCCATAAGACAATCCTCTAATATTTGAAGACTGTTATCTCAGCCCTTCAGGTCTTTTCTTCAGCTACACAGCCCTATTTCCTAAACGTCCAGATTTCATTTCCACATTTTGATCCAAACTTTCTCCTGAATGTGTCCTAGTTGCTTTATATTTATCTTAGTCTACATTCCCCAGAACTTAACACAGTATTCCAACTAAGGTCTGACCAAGGCAAATTAGAGTGGGGTTCTTACCTCCCCCACCAGAGATACTTCTCTTAAGACTGGCTTTTTGGTAGCCACATCAAACTGCTAACTCCTACTGAGCTGATACAGCCACTTTAAAGTAGCCAAGTCATACTTCAAAACCATTATTTCTTACCAAGTAATGTAGCTATCTGGGTTATCCAGACCTCTTCTATCCCTCACCCAAAGACCATCCATAAGCCTCACCCCACCAACATAAAAGCACAAGAAATAGGTAAAGTTTTCTGTTTTGTACATTCCTTTGAAAAAGCTGAAAATTATTTGATTTGCCCATGTCTCCTCAAAATACCCCAGGTCAAAAATTGTCATCTCAAAACGTTATGCAGCTCGGTGAGCTAATTTCGTGAATCTTTAAATCCCATGAAGGATACCTAATACGTTAAACCATTAAATGGATCCTGCCTAATTAACAGTAAATCCTAGAGGAAAGAGTGCAGGTCTGTCATTAGAGCCACCTGAGTCTGAATCTCAGCCATATTCATAAAGTGCTGTTGGCCCAGGACAACTTATTCTGAGTCTTGCTTTCCTCCCCGAGAAATGGGGCTAATACATCCATCTTGCCATGTCCTTGTATAAAGTACTTGACACAATGCCTGGTCTGTGGCGGATGGGCAGTAAATGATATGCTTCCCCTCGCAGCACAGATTATTACAGCTTACACCCCATTTCCCTTAGTAGGTTCCTAGCTCTTAGAGAAAGGGCCTGGGACTTGCTTGTCTTCACATCCCCCAGACCCTCAACACCAGTTTAAGCAGACACACATTCCTCTTGAATATAAATGTGAGCATTTGGCTTTAAATTCAGTTGTATATCATATAGAAATCATTACATTTCTGCTCTGGCCTCTCAGTTTCAAAGGGATATTTTTTAATTCCCAGGGAATTACCTATTATAAAGATTATAAAGATTATAAAAGATTACCTATTATAAAAAAAAGAAAAAAGATAGACTCTACTCAAGTCTCGGGCAATCGTGTTCAAATGGTGCTCTAAGTCTCGGAGAACAGGTTGACATTGACATTTCTAATATTCTTAATGTTGACCCAATTTTAAGCTCTATTTCTCTCCTCAAGTAACCGTGTTTCAAGACACAGCCAGAAAACAGGAGGGGCAGGACGAGGCTCTGATGGGGAAAGCCAACCTCTGATATATCCAATTTCTCACCTATGGCTCAGTCAGCTCAAGGAAAGTTTTGTGGATCCCCAGTGTCTTCCCAGGGCGACAGACACTCCTACACGGCCTCAACCAGGCTGAGGTAATTGTTACTGTTATGGCTTTAACGATGTGAGTGGGAGAAGATGAGAATTCTGAAAGAGATTTATTTACTGCAAAGCATCCCAAATATCTCATTAATCTGCTTTTCATTTGGCAAACTCTTCCTTCATTAAAAGTGCCATGCTCTGCTCTGCAGTTTATGACAAAGCAAAACCGTCTCTGGGAGGCAAAGCAGCAAAATGGAAAGAATGTGGGCTCTGGAACAAATTAGACGTGAGTTTGATTTCCAAGTGTGCTACTTACTTGTTCTGTGACTGTGGGCAGTTTTCCTTAGCCTGTTAGAACCCCATCTTCCTCATCTGTCAAGAGAAGATGATTGTCCTGTCCTGGTTTATGAATATTGAGATCAGCCCTAGGCCCTAGGGCACTATGTTTGTTTCTCCTTTAAGGTTCAATGGTCACCTGCAAAAGGAAGATCATAATATTACCAACTTCATACACTTCGTGATGAGGATTTAAATGGGTGAATGTATGTAAACTAATTAGAACAGAGTCTGGCACAGAGGAAGTTCTGTGTAAGTGTGTGCTATCATCATCATTAAGGATTAAATGACACACATAAAGGACGCTTTGAATAGGGACTTGCACCTGTTACATATGAGGTGCTCAATAAATGTATGGGAAAACATCTCCCCTCCCAACTAGAGACTTTTCCTTGGGGTCTGAAGAAACTCCTTGGGTGAGAGGAGCTTTTCAAAATTATATACTCAGGGCTTCCCTGGTGGCGCAGTGGTTGAGAGTCCGCCTGCCGATGCAGGGGACACGGGTTCGTGCCCCTGTCCGGGAAGATCCCACATGCCGCCGAGCGGCTGGGCCCGTGAGCCGTGGCCGCTGAGCCTGCGCGTCTGGAGCCTGTGCTCCACAACAGGAGAGGCCACAACAGTGAGAGGCCCGCGTACCCACCCCCAAAAAAATTATATACTCAGAACTTTAGAGAAAGAGGGATCACATAGCTAAAACCTGTTTACAAAGAAACAGACCGACGGACGTAGACGGGGAGAGCAGGGATGAGAGGTAGAGAAGGGAGCTTCCCTGGTAAGGTGGCACAGTTATCAGAAAAGAAAATTCCAGGTCTCCTAATACCCAGATGACTACATTCTTTTCCCCAGGTCATGCTGCCTTTTAAGTGTTGTCTTGATTGAGAAACACCTTCCTACAAACAGAGTTCAAATTGTCAGGTGATCTCTGATCTTCTTTGAGGTTCTAATAAAATGAGAATAAAGAAAAGACATGGACTCAGGATGGTTTAGGAAGATGCTGGGAATGTAAAGGGAGAGAATGGCTCCCCCCAAAAATCCCAATTCAGAGCAGGGACTATTTACCTCACTCTGGACAGTAAAATAAGGGCAGTGCACCCAGATACTTGCCACCCACAAATCCAAATCCAGGAAGCTCTGCCTCCCTTGGTTAATTTTAAACGCTGCTTTTATATCGCAGTTTAGATTTGTTTTGTTTTGTATGTACAGTATCAGTGAGCTCCAGATTCCTTATTCCTTAGCTCTAGGAATGAGAGCCCTTTCCAGCTGATTTGGTGTCACTCACCACTGAGGGAGGTAGAATATTCCTCTTCCGATTGGAAATACTTTATTTCAGTGGGTCTCCTTCATTTCTTTCCCTTCAATCAGGGAGATAGATCTCACCTAGGGTGTTCTGCCTTTCAAAGCAGTTTTCACTTCAATAACTAAGACTTTTAAATTTTTTTCAAGTAACCAAAGAAACAGAAGCCAAGAGTACAAGAAAGAGAGCACAGAAAAATAGAAGGGAAAAAACATCAGCCCCAGGGTGAACACAAATATTGATATTTAGGGTCCCCTAAGCTTGAGTCTAGGCTCTATTTTGTGCTGAAATTCTGGGCTCCTCTGGCAGCTAATAGGTACAAATGTCTGCCAAAAAACGCTAATAAGTATTTTCATGAGGAACCAAGGGGAGGACAAGGTGATGGTCTTAATACAGTTTTAATGTTCCCCAGCTCTGTCCATGGCCTACCTACCCTCATGGACTCAGTGCTAAAAAGAGAAGGCTGCCCATCTAAAAATAAAGAGAAGGCATACTAACAATCCTGCCCTGCTATGAGATCCATGCATATCCCAAAAGGGGGAAGACTGCATGTCCTGCTTCTGCCTGGCTCACATCAGGAACTCCAAGAGAGAAATCAGAGACAGAGGCAAGAACAGTACCAGGGAAGGCTGCCCAACTGAGAGCAAAATCTGTGTCCCCTATGAGGGCAACCAGCCTACCACCACGGGGGCTGAAGCGGGGGAGGAAGGGAATGCATCATGGAACCCACAGGAGGCGGACAGAACTGGAGCACGTGTAGGAGACAACCCCTGGGACTCCGCTGGGGCTGGGTGGGGAGGACATGGAGATTTGTAATAGCCAAAGAGATAAAAAGCTAAAAATACGGGTTATTACCATTGCTGTGACCCCTTTTAAAACTCCAGGCTATCGTGGCCTGAGAAAATGGGTTGACATTGGTAATATCACCTCCTTCTGTTATTTCTCTACAATTTAATCTGCACACAGTGTTGTAACGAGGATCCCTAGTGGGCTGTATTCATCCAGACTAAATCTCTTCTGATGCAGGTGTTCCCAGTAAAAGAAATACGATTCTTGATTCTTAGAATTTAATTATGTGCTGCTCTTTGTATATTAAAGTAGTTCAAACTACTGTACCACTGGGGTATATGATTTGTATTACTTTTCCTATAAGTGGGATGGGCTGGTAAAGAATCATGCATTTTCTCACGAAGGTTCCCTCGCAACTAATCACACACGTTTGAGAAATAGCAGGTCAGGACTAGAGGCACCGTGTGTGTCCATGAGACAATTTCTCTGCAAAGAAGCAATATAATATAAAGAACGGTTAAATCAATTAAACAAGGACACCATTAGACTGAGGCGGCTCTAATACATTAGCAGCCTACATAAGCAAACCAAAACCTAAGCCTGTAATGCCTCAAGGTTAAGAAAGTGAAACCTAAGGACAACCAATCGCAGACAGCCAATTCAGCTTTTCCAAATAATGCAACTGCTTCAGCCAATCAGATAATTCCCTCGCTTTGCTCTCCCTGCATCTTCTCTACAGAAGTCTTTCTCCCAGCTCCCGTATGGGGAGCATCCTAACCATTTCCCATTCAGTGCTGCCTGATTCAAATCAATTTTTGCTGAAATAAACTCTTAAAATTTGAATATGCCTCAGTTTATCTTTTAACAGAACTAAGCAACACTAGTCCAGAAGATACACCAAAAAGCATTATTATTAGCTAGAGCCTAGCCTTAACCTGTCTGGGTCTCAGTTTCCTCATGAGTTAAAAAAAAATTTGCAGTTAAAAAGATTTCATATGCCACCCCTTGGAGTTCTTGTGAGGGCCAAAAGAGTATTTGAAACATCTTCTAACATTTTCTACTATAAAAATAAGAGGCCACCTAGTCCATTGGAGTAATGGAACTTTGTTTTCAGGTAAGTTAAAATACCTGCTTCCTTAATTATTAAATTTACAATTTAATAATTTATAAAATGTATCACTCCAGCTCCTAATTCTTATGTGATGACATGAAGTACAAAGGCAAAGAAAAGAAAAAGACCAAATCCCCTTCAATCACAGTATCTGGGCAGTTCTGGCTCATATTAGAAATCTCTGTATGATGTTACATTCTAACATACGATATTAAGCTTTCTTTCAGAGAATAAAGAAAATATGTGCCAATATTAAGTTATTCTGGCCATTGTTGTCTTAAATGAATGTGGGTGTCTTCTTAAGGCACTTTATACAAATCAATATGCCACCAACCTAGTGATATGTGGCCACCCACACCAAAAGTACGACTAGAGAGAAGCATCCATCCCATGAAAAAAACTAGTGACTTTTAGTGAACAGAATAAGGAAGAAATTAAATTGGAGTCTGTGGGTGGTGACAGCAGAAGTGGGTCATCCTTTTAAACCTCATTTCCTCCGAAGTTTTATGTTAAAGAGGCCCAACCACCAAAAAGTGAGTTTCCATATTGCCTAGGGAAAACGATGTCAAAGTAATTTGAATATTTTTCAAATAACTTTCCTTAATACCCTATGCAACTGAGAAATCCCACAGGCCTGTAAACCTTAACAAAGCCATTGTTTCCAGCTCTAAACCCTGCCTTTGGGTTTGGCTTTCTCCCTTTCTTTATGGATGAATGACATTTTCAATCAAGTTGTTTTTCTTCTTACTCTGGGAACCAAGCTCATTTTGCATAAACATAATCCTCTCTGGCATAAAGCCAGAGATTTTCAGGCTCTCTGGCTTTACCTTCCCTTTCTCATCACTACTAGAACATGAGAGTCACACTCCAGGAATCTCAGGGGGTGCAGGAGAGATGCTGTGCAGTGTGATGCAAGTTGCTTCTGAAATCTTAAGAGCAGAGTCACCTCAGAGAAGATGCTTCACACCCAAGTCAGGTTCTCAACTGTAAACCATGTATAAGTGACACTAGTAAGAATCAGATGAGACTTCACTCAATGACTGCTCCTCTATGAATGCTATCCTGTCCACTTTCCCCCTCCCTGAATGAGAATGGCCCACTCGCCACCTTTGCCTCCACCACTGAGGTGTATACAAGCTTTGATCACAATGTTTCCGTCATTTACTTGCTTTTTTTTTTGGCCGTGCGCCTTGTGGGGGGATCTTAGTTCCTGGACCAGGAATGGAACCTGGGCCCCCTGCAGTGGAAGCACAGAGTCCTAACCACTGGACCAGCAGGGAATTCCCTCATTTACTTGTCTATATTTCTATCTACCCTCACCAGACTGAAGACTTTTACAGGGCAGTACCTTTGTCTTATTTATTTTAGAAATCCCCAAACCATGCTTGCCAATGTTTGTTATGTAATAGGCTCTAAAGAAATGTCTGTTGAAGGATTAATTTGTTAATTGACTGACTAGTTGATTGATTGAATGAATGCCACAGATGAAAGCACCTTAGAAACCTCCTATCGCTAGACAAATGTAAGTCATTATTATGTGGAATTCCATAAATTAGCTTTGAACTTGAGGTAATTAGGCAATTGCTCAAAGTCAAGAGGTAATGGATCTTTTAAATGTTCTTATTTCATATCATCCTTTGTTTTTGTTTATTTATTTAATCCAGACAGCTGCCAAGAATTTACACATCTTAAGATAATAACACACTAAAAAAAAAAACAGTCCCTGCCACAGAAATACTGAGAAATATTCTGCTGGCTAAATTAGAACCGACTCTTAGAGACACAATGATGAAATCACAGACTTTAAGTTCTTTCTCGAGTACAAACTGGTGTCCTGGGGAGACCATTAATGCTAACGCCAACACAGAACAATGAGGGGACTGTCCTCAGATGCCCATTTTGTTTTTACCAGTTGCTCTCAATATGAGAGTACTTACAGGAAGTAGCTGGGTGTTTGGTTTTTTTTTTTTTTTCATTATTCACTTCATAAATATTGGACACTAGCTGTGTGTTGGCTAAATATAAGAGATGCAAACAAGGATTTCAAGGTGGCGTGTGGGTTGCATGAAAGGTTCTTGACAAGATTACATATCCCATAACCAAGGCAGAATGAAATGCCATAAGACAAACAGAAATACAAAACTCCCCAGTGCAGTAACAGGCCCCCGGAGAAGATCAGAAAAGACTCCATGGAGGAGGTGGTAACTGTGATAAATTAGGCTTTGGACAATACGTCAATCCACATAGACAGGGAGAACAGCGTGGTGGGACTGGGGAAGAGTGGGGATTCCAAGGAGGAATGATGCTATACAGAAATTACACAAGGGAGGGCCAGCTCCCATGGCTGTTTTTAGTCTTCATTTCCAGAAGTTTCCATTCCATGTGCTCCTGGTATGCTAATTTGACTCTGGTAATAACCAATTTGACATTAGTGTATTTAATGTAAAATAACACTGATATCATTACTATAAATCTCTCTTTTCACAGCAGCAATAAATATTATCTTGAAGCAATAGATCGAATACTACATTTATATAATATCCCTAGAGAAATTATTCAAAATTGAAGCACATTTTGAGTATATTATAATTACATTTTCTTTAATTTTCCATGGAATTCAAAACAAATACTTCTCAGCGTTTTCTGAAAATGATCTGTGCTTAACATGGAAAAACCTTTTAATTACTATAGCATAACATCTTGCCAACTTCTACATCATTTAATCCTTGCCAGATTCTGATTCTAGCATTAGAATTAGCTTCTCTGGAATATTTTTACGAACTGGGAATGGACATGTTTAACTGTATAACATTTCTTAACTTCATCAAATTCTAGAACAGCCCCTTCAATCTGTGATAGAAATAAAGAATCAGTTTAATGGTATGTCTCTCAAACTAATGTTCTGAAGGATATTAACAGGTGTTTCATTAAAAAATGAGAAATGTTAATGGAACAAAGTTAAGTAAAGATTTCCACACTTATGTGTGGAATCTAAAACATTCAACAAACTAGTGAATAAAACAAAAAGAAGTCAGACTAGCAGATACAGAGAATGGACTGGCGGTTGCCAGTGAGGAGAGGGAGGGGGGAGGGGCATTATAGGGGTAGGGGATTAAATATGGGGTTATTATCGGATTATATGAAATCACGTGTATGAAACTTTTGAAAATTGTAAAGCATTGTAGAATTTAAAGAATCTTTCATTCAATAAAATAGTTAAAATTTTTTTAATTTTAAAAAATATTCACTTAGATTTGAATAGGGAAGATTACCTGAATATATATTTGGACTGCTCATAGAGTAGGTGATTCAATACCTGACAAAATAAAGGGTACACCTTTTCCAACTAGACACCTCGGAAGTCTATAACTTTACTCCAACAATATCACCTTTATTCAAAATATTTCTGAACACCTCTTTAGTTTATGACATAGACTTTAGTTTAAGACATAGACTCAGTGGTGACAACTTTTCATCATTTATGGGTAGATTTGATTTGGAGAATAGACAAAGACATTCAGAGCCAGATCTGGAAAATAAGGTAAATGGCCTTTTGATCACCTGGAATCTTCCTGTGAAGTAATGACACCAACTTTCTTGTGTAACTTATGAAGTGGTTCCAAAACCAGTAAGATAGGAAGAATTCCAAAGTGTTTTAAATAATGGTAGCATCATTAGAAAAGATATCTTTCTCCAAAAAGAATGTGACAAATTAAACTTTTTATTATGAACATTTAGATATGGCTGTTCAAAATAGTTCTCAATCCCTTTTTTCACATTTTGTTCAAAAGTAACTTGTCAACTTAAGGCAAATTCCTAAAGATACATACCTACCTACCAAATGGGTTATTTCCCTTTCAAGTATTGTTTGAAAGGAGAAATGAGACTTACTCTGTCAGCTCTGGCTCCCTCCCCTTTACAGGGTAGAAAAAAACCTGAGAGAAGAAAAAGACAAGACAAGATTGGGGGTTGGGATATGGGAGGTAGTCAGCAGATATTATCAATGGCCTGGAGGTCAATCAGATTCACAAGGCAAAAGGATTGTTTCATAATCTCCCAATACCTCTCAAATCAACCAGGCAAACCTCTGATGGTTTCCAGTCATAATAGTTACATTACATGAATTTTAAATAACCTTAAAGCTACGGTCCTTTTGGCCCTGAGCAATACAGCAATGGGCATTTAAGGCACCTGGCTTCCAACACCCATCCTGCCCCTGCTGGTGGGGCCTTAGCACCTGAGATAGAGAACTCTGTTTTGTTCATTAATGAATCCCAAGCATTTACAACATATACTCATAGGTGCTCAATAAACACTTCAAGTAAGAAGGCTTACTCTCACTAGGCCTCAATTTCCTTATGTGTTAAAGAAGGATATTACCTTAGACCAAGAGATTCCTATCATAATCATGAACTTACTAATGGAGACTCATCATTTTTTCTTTCCTCTGCTTTCCAGTGGCAAAAACCTTTCCCCAAACTATACCAAAGAGCCAATGGTCAGCTGTCTCTTCCTCACGCCTGACTACCATCTATATTATCAACAGACATTTTGCTTTCATAAACTCAAGATTTTCCAGAAATGAGGAGGTGTAGCTAAGATGATGAAGTAGGAAAAGGTGAGCTCACCCTGAGCTCACTTCCTCCCATGGGCACACCAATACTACAACTATTTACAGAGCCACTATTGATGAGAATGACCTGAAGACTAGCAGAAAAGATTTCCCAACTAAATATATAAAGAATCACAATGAGGACTTCCCTGGCGGCACAGTGGTTAAGAATCCACCTGCCAATGTAGGGGACACGGGTTCGATCCCTGGTCTGGGCAGATCCCCGATGCAGCAGAGCAACTAAGCCCATGAGCCACAGCTACTGAGGCTGCGCTCTAGAGCCTGTGAGCCACCACTACTGAGGCCCACGTGCCACAACTACTGATGCCCGCGTGCCTAGAGCCTGTGCTCTGCAACAAGAGAAGCCACCGCAATGAGAAGCCCACGCACCACAACGAAGAGTAGCCTCCACTCACCGCAGCTAGAGAAAGCCCGCACGCAGCAATGAAGACCCAACACAGCCAAAAATAAATAAGTTAAAAAAAAAAAAAGAAGAATCACAATGAGATGGGTAGGAGGAGTGGAGATGTAGTAAACTCAGGAGCCATACCCCTGGGGTAGGTGACCCACAACTGGAAGGATAACCACAACTACAGAGGTTCCCTCCAAGGAGCAAGAGTTCCAAACACCACATTGGGCTCCCCAGCCAGGGGGTCCTGCACTGGGAAGATGAGCCCCCAGAACAACTGGCTTTGCAGGTCAGCAGAACTTGTATATGGGAGAGCCAGAGGGCTCTGGGAAATAGCTTAAAGGGCACATGCAAAATTTCACATACTCCAAATCCCTGTGCAGAAGCAGTAATTTGAAAGGAATTTGGGTCAGACCCACTTGCTGATCTTGGAGAGCCTCCCAAAGAGGCAAGAGGCTAATGGGACTCCCCCTGGGGACATAAACACTGGTGGCAGCCATTTGGGGGAGCTTGTTCTACCATGAGGACACTGGAACTGGTAAGCACCACTTTGGAGTCCATCTGCTAGATTATTAGTGCCAGGGACTTACCAGCCCACCCAGTGCCAGCCCCGAGCCTCCCTGGCCCCACAGCCAGCCTAGTAGGGACCCAGCCCTGACAATCAGAGAGCCAACACTGGCCCCAGGACCCACAAGGCCACACAGCCAGCCATGCTGAGACTTATCCCCACCCACAAGCAGGTCAGCACAAGGTAAGCCTGGCAGCCAACCTGGCTGGGGGGTGTGGAGGTCAAACCCTGTCTACTAGCACACCCACAACAGTCAGCCCCACCATAAAGAAGGGCCCACACAGCCCACAAAAGGGTACCCCTAAAGCATATATCTCTGAAGACCACAGGGGAACGTGCTGCTAGGCCCCATAGTATGTCTCTAATATGGCCACTTCTCCAAGATTGGGAAGCATAACCAATCTACTGAATACATAGAAATAAACAGAGAAGTAGGCAAAATGAGGAGACAGAGAAATATATTCCAAATGAATAAACAAGACAAACATCAGAAAAAGAACTAAATGAGGTGGAGATAAGCAGTCTACCCAATAAAAAGTTCAAGGTAATGATCATAAAGATGCTTAACGAACTCAGGTCAAGAATAGAAAAACATAGTGATAAATTTAACAAAAAGCTAGAAAATATGAAGAAGAAGCAAACAGAGCTAAAGAATACAATAACTGAAATAAAAATACACTAGAAGGAATCAACAGTAGATCAGATGATACAGAGGAACAGCTCAGTGAATTGGAGGACAGAGTAGTGGAAATCACTGAAGGTGAACAGAAAAAAGAATTTTTTTTAATGAGGATAGTTTAAGACATCTCTGGAACAACATCAGGAGTATAAACATTCACATTATAAGGGTCCTAGAAGTAGGAGAGAGAAAGGAACAGAGACTTTATCTGAAGAAATAATAGCTGAAAACTTTCCTAACCTGAGGGAAGGAAACAGACATCCAGTTCCAAGAAGCACAGAGAGTCCCAAATAGGATTAACCCAAAGAGGTCCACACCAAGATACACTGTAATTTAAATGGCAAAAATTAAAGATAAAGAGTCTTAAAAGCAGCAAGAGGAAAGCAGCTAGTTACACACAAGGGAACTCCCATAAGACTGACTTTTCAGCAGAGTCAGCTGACTTTTCAGCAGAAACTTTGCAGGCCAGAAGGGAGTGGCATGATATATTCAAAGTGATGAGAGGAGGGAGTTCCTTGGCAGTCCAGTGGCTAGGACTCCATGCTCTCACTGCTGAGAACCTGGGTTCAATCCCTGGTCGGGGAACTAAGATCCCACAAGCCACACGTCGCAGCCAAAAAAAAAAAAAAAAGTGATGAAGGAAAAAACACAACCAAGAATACTCTAACTGTCAAAGCTGTCATTCGGATATAAAAGAAAGATAAAGAGTTTTACAGACAAACAGAAGCTAAAAGAGCTCAGCACCACTAAACCCACCTTACAAGAAATGTCAAAGGGACTTATCTAAGCAGAAAAGACCAGAATTAGAAATATAAAAATTATAAAAGGAAAAATTCCATTGGTAAAGGCAAACATACAGTAAAGGTAGGAGATCAATTACTTATAAAGGTAGTAGGAAGGTTGAAGACAAAAGTAGTAAAAATCATCTTTATCCACAATAAGTAATTAAGGGATACATAAAAAGATGTAAAATATGATGTAAAAAACATTAAGCATGCACAGGGCAACAGCGGGTGAGTAAAAATGCAGGGTTGTAAGAATACATTCAACCTTAAGAGATCATCAACTTAAAATAAACATATATATATATATATGGTCACCACAAACAAAAACCCATAACAGATACAAAAATAGAGAAAAAGGAGTCCAAACACAATATAAAGGTAGCCATGAAATCACAAGGGAAGGCAGCAAAAGAAGAAAGGAAAAAAAAGAACTACAAAAACAACTCCAAAACAATTAAGAAAATGGCAAAAAGTACATACCTATCAATACTTACTTAAAATATAAATGGACTAGATGTTCTAGTCAAAAGACATAAGGTACCTGAATGGATCAAACAAAACAAGACCCATATATATGCTGCCTACAAGGGACTCACTTCAGATCTAATGACACACAGAATAAATGTGTGGGGATGGAAAAAGGTATTACACGTAAATGGAAATTAAAAGAAAGCCAAAATACAATACTTAAATCTGACAAAATAGACTTTAAAATAAAGACTGTTAAAAATCCACAAACAATAAATGCTGAACAGGGTGTGGAGAGAAGGGAACCTGTTGGTGGGAATGTAAATTGGTGCAGCCACTATGGAGAACAATTTGGAGGTTCCTTAAGAAACTAAAAAGAGAGCTACCATGTGATCCTGCAATCCCACTCCTGGGCATATACCTGGAGAAAAACATGGTTCAAAAGGATACAATGTTCACTGCAGTGCTGTTTACAATAGTCAAGACATGGAAGCAACCTAAATGTCCATCAACAGAAGAATGGATAAAAAAGATGTGGTACATATATACAATGGAATATTACTCAGCCATTAAAAAGAATAAAATAATGCCACTTGCAGCAACATGGACAGACCTAGAGATTGTCATACTGAGTGAGCTAAGTCAGACAGAGAAAGAGAAATATCATGTGATATTGCTTATATGCGAAATCTTAAAAAATGATACAAATGAACTTATTTACAAAACAGAAACAGATTCACGTACTTAGAGAATGAACTTATGGTTACCGGGGGGAAGGGTGGCAGGAGGGATAGTTAGGGAGTTTGGGATTGACATGTACATACTGCTATATTTAAAATGGATAACCAACAAGGACCTACTGTATAGCACAGGGAACTCTGCTTAATATTCTATAACAATCTAACTGGGAAAAGAATTTGAAAAAGAATAGATACATGTATATGTATAACTGAATCACTTTGCTGTACACCTGAAACTAACACAACATTATTAATCAACTATACTCCAATATAAAATAAAAAGATAAAAAATAAAATAAAATAAATAAAATAAAGACTGTTACAAGAGACAAAGGAGGACACTACAAAATGATCATCGATCAATCCAAGAAGGAGATATAACAATTGTAAATATATATGCACCCAAAATAGGAGTGCCTCGATATATAAGGCAAATATTAACAGACATAAAGGGAGAAATAAACAATAACACAATAATAGTAGGGGACTTTAACACCCCACATACATCAATGGACAGATCATCCAGACAGAAAAATCAATAAAGAAACACTCACCTTAAATGACACATTAGACCTCATGGACTTAATAGATATCTATAGAACACTTCATGCAAAAGCAGGAGAATACACAATCTTTTCAAGTTCACGTGGAACATTCTCCAGGATAGATCACAT